AATATCCCTTCCTGTGCCTTTCTTTTGGATGTAGATTTGAAGATCTGGGCGAAGTAGACTAAGAACAGCCTTGTAAATAAGAATGTGTCAGTGACTAACAATGCAGACCGACCAACCCGATCACAAGGAGCAATGATGAGTAAGGGCTCTAAAGTTTGTGATGAACCTCGGAGCGAGGAGAATCATCAGTTTGACAGATGAGGTATGTTTGTTCTCTCATAATTTGATTTAATGATGCCTTGCAATCATTTCTTCAATGTTTGATTTTACATTTCTCTAATCAGCCAATCACTGAATAGCATTTATTTCTCTTTGTCTTGTTTTAGGGTAAAAGGAGGAATCTAATGGTCACAGTATAATGTGAAAGAAATAAAAACTGACTTGACCTTTTGTGCTTTATGAACATATTGCGTATCCACACTGAACAAAATTAAAATACACATTACAAACTGCATATTTTGGCGTGGCCTTTTATTGTGGCCAGCCTAAGGCACACCAATCTGATCAGCATCTTGCTATGCCAGACATGTGAGGTGGATGGATTATCTCGGCAAAGGAAGTGCTCACTAACCCAGATTTTGACAGATTTGTGAACAATATTTGAGAGAAATAGGCCTTTTGTGTATATAGAGAAAGTCTTAGATCTTTGAGTTCAGCTCATGATGAATGGGGGCAAAAACAAAACGGTTGCCTTTATAATTTTAGTAAGTATAAAAGTAAAAAAAACTTTTAATTTAAATGCACTGCTATAAACACAAAAGTGCAATAATATTTGGTTTGCAAACACTTTAAACAAATGATCTTTTTCCCAGCAGTATTTCCTTTACACAGTAGCAATAAAATATTTCTTGTAAATCTCAACTTAAACATTAATGTATGTAATCAAATCATATATTAAACCAAAGCTGTTTGCCACTGCCACTTTTATCTCCATCAGAGAAAGTTAGAGAACATCAGAACAGGCTCCTTCTGAGCAGAAGGTGAACAGATATAAATCTGTTTTCAGGTATCAGCAGAAACAGTCTGTGTTCAGCAGCAAGTGTCCCTGTTAGAGTGAGCTGAAGTGCTCGCCACACGCCCGCTCGCTGCCGATGCTGCATTATCTTGAACTTTTTGTACGCGACGGGCAGCATGAATCATTGGAAGAGAGACTGATCCTCGCTGTTTGGGAGTTTCCAGATTAAAAATGTGTTGAAATAAAGCAGGACAGCTCTCACTGTCCCTAGAGCTCTTGGATCTGTGTGCTGATCTGGGTCCAGCATTAGACAGACCAACCTGAAGGATCCGTGCCATCCCGGTACAAATACAAGTAGCTATAACCACTGTTCCTGTTTCTGGCAGCAGCTGTTAGCAGCGGGAGCCGACAGGTGTGTGTCTGATGGGATCAATTATATATAACGTTTACCTTTCTACCTAAAGTCTTTGTTTAGAATAATATCATTCTGTTAAACTCTCTGAATCTTCTTTTGTTTGTGAACAAGCTGCATTAAACCATCTGTGCTTTCTAACTTCCACCTCACAAACAAAGATTTCTGTATCAGAAAACACGTCAGACCATGTTTTCTTTATTTCAGCCAGTACGATTCTCTGAGCTGCACTGACTGTTACTGTAACACTAACGCCACTTTGTCGTTTTGCGTTTGTTGCTGGTCAAAGAGTTCAAACCATCAGATTAAATATTTCTCCTCTCCTTCACTTCACTGATCAGCACCTCGATATTGCACTTAGTGAAACTTCTCTTTTTCACCTGTTCTGCTGCAGCTGTTGTTATTTGGACCTTGGGAGGTGACGCTGGCGTGTTTCTGGTTATTTGCATTGTCATTTATGGAAGGAGCCAAGGCGGGGTATGTGGCTCGTGCATATGCGCTCAGTTTAAAGTTCATTGGGATGTATAAAGGAAAGGTGTGTGCCTGGTTTATACATGTGGAGATTTCTCTCTCTCTTCTATCTTTCAGCATAAAAGCTGCGCAGTCTTTTCTACATGAGGCCCCTGGTCAGGCAAGTCACAGTTTGGGGCTAACTACCAACATGTCATGTGTTCAGTCAGTCAGAGTGCTAAAATGGTTACAGATGCTCATTCAGATACTCAATGTTTGTAAAAATATAATCAAAAACTATAAAACAGAGCAGTGTGTGTGCAGGAAAATCACAGCCCTCACCTTTAACTCTCCCTGCCTCAGCTTCCCCTGTGCTGGACCCTCTGTTTTTACTGTAGAGCTACACATGCATGAGAAGAGCATCAGTAATAAATATGAGCAACAATAATCCATTTTCTAATTCTATCTAAGCATAACATGATTGCCTACCCAGCCCTGCACACTGTCCCTGTCACTGTTCCACCACTGAAAGGTGAATTTGGAGCATGTTGTTCCAACATTTTGTTCTTTTTAATTCTTATTTTTCTGGCACCACACATTTCTCTGTCCTCTTTCTTTCTTTCTGCCATATTTACCATCTCTGTTGTCACACAAACCTGATTGAAAGTAAACTGCTATGATCGACGTCGTTTAACCAATCAGATTTAAGCAAAAACGAGGATCAGTGTAAGTTGGGAGGGGCTGCTCGTACCCCCCCTCACTATTGAAGGTATTAGGTTGGCCCGGGTCAGACAGCGTTCAGCTGAAATGGTCCGGCCGTTGGTGAGTCTTCCTGAACTTCCCGATGGCCAGTCTGCCCCTGTACAGAAGCCACTTAGCTGTTTAGGAACAAGATTGCCTGATGGCATGATGGCAGGTCTCCCTCCAGTACAAAGATGTGATGACTTTGTTTAGACACTGATGATCCCGAGAGGATGGATCCTAATGACTTTGGTTGTTGTTTGTAGGCATCAGGTCATAAAACAAATTCCCTTGGATCTGTGTTTAGTTCTCGCTGTACCGTCCTGCAGCTCCCTGCTGTGCTTTTTATACTGCCATAAGTCTTCACATCAACACAGATATCTCTTAGTACTTTGAATAAGTTAATGTTCTACAATTAATAATAAAGCATATTGTAAGGATAAAAAAAGAAATCTGGTTTGCAGTGCTGTACTGAAATTGGATTGTAGTTTAAAAAAAGGTGCACAAATGTGTTTTTGTATAAAGTAAATTAAGCAGAACTAATTGAAACTCAGTATCCTGTAAATGGAAGTACTGTAAATGAAAATACTGTAATGAAACCGTCATTTAATTCATGGTAATTATACAGTTCTGTAAATCTACAGCAATCTTTGGAGGGGTTTGTTTTTTGACCTGCCGACTGGATGAGCAATAATCGAACAGCGTTTCCACCACCTGCTTCTGTTTACGGTTTCTGGAGAGTTTGATTTTTGCCTTTGTGAACACAAACTGGACCAGCTGGAGAACTGATCAACCTCACATTGGTTGGATTCAGGACTCGGACCTTTAGGTGTGAACCCTTAATCTAACAGTAGCATCATATATCATCATGTAACACGTCGTTTCTTCAGCTGGGAGTCAGGGGGTGGGACCTGATTCTTGTTGCTGTAGAATAATTTCCATCTATGGCGATGCTGATTGAGACACAGTTTGTGATGTTGCACTGTGAATAAAGTGAAGCTAAGCGAGCATACTTCACTGAATGCTGAACTTTTCCTTTAACTCTGTATAAATCAGTCTGCTGGCTTCTGTTCAGAGGCAGTTCACTGAGATGTTTCTGAGCTGATAGAATGTTTTTTCTGTCCACGGCTGTGCTCCAATAACAGGACTCCAGGCTGAAGAAAATCACACCTCAACAGGTAAAGAGAGAAAGAAAAGAGAAGGAAAGAATCACAGAAGCAGAATCAGCAGTCAAGATTTAGTTTAATCTCTTGAATTCACTTCTTTACTGATGACTCTCTTGTTTCTGTTCAGAGCCTGATAATGTCAGGTTGGTGGGAGGAGCCAGTCGCTGTGCAGGAACACTGGTGGTGAAACAGGTAGAATGGAGACCAGTGAGTGACCCTTACTCTGACTGGACCCTGAAGACAGCAGCTGTTGTCTGTAGAGAGCTGGACTGTGGCTCTGCTGTTTCTGTAGAAGAGAGAAAGGAGTCCTCATACAGACCTGTGTGGAGGATCAGCTCTGACTGTGTTCAGTCTAGATCTTTTCTGAAGGAGTGTACAAGATCATTTTCCTCTTCCTCCATCCTGGATCTCACCTGTTCAGGTAAGCCCATCAGTGACATCATCTATGACATCATCTCTGACAGTAATGTACCCAGGTTGACACACACTCAGCAGCTAGAATGGCAGCAGACTGTCTCTGGCAGCCATGACAGAGTCTGATGAGCTGCTGCCTCAGTAGGAGCTGAACGCACCAAGATATATATATATATGAAACATGTCTGCTGCTTCAGGAGACCCCGGGGCCAACCACCAACCAGCCTGAAAGGACTCCTCCTTCAGCTTGACGGCTTTCTTAGCCACTGGTTTCCACCAGCAGGGTCTTTGGTTGCCTCCATAACAGGCACCAATGACCTGCCGGCCACAACTTTGAGCAGCTGAGCTCAGCCGGGAGCTCGTCAGTATCTCCACACCCACGTGGCGTCCTCCACCCTGGCAGCTCCTTCAAAGGAGAGAGTCCAGCCCCTATCCCTGTCAGAGCTGTTGGAGCATTTTCTAAGCAGCTTTTTCTTCTGGGTTACAGATCTTCTTGGAACATTAAGACAGAATGAAAAGTGTTGAACTTCTTTGTGTGGAGAGTAAAGATTGTGGAGTACCTGAGCAGAAGGAACAGAGCAGAGAAATGTGCAGATGATGATGTTGTGCTGTTGTTTGGAAACATGTTGAAAGTGTTCAAACGTGGAGAACAAGTGTGACAGAGTATTTTATGGAAATGTGCTGGTGAACTTGCTGCAGTCTGTGCTGTTAGAAAGATGTGTTCTGTTGTTAATGATGAACTGATGTTGGAGTTGTGCTGAGTCCAGTTTGAATCACTGAATTGAAATTCATGACATATTTTTCTTTTGTGTCTGGTGTCTTTATCTCTGATTCATCTTCTATTATCTCTCCAGACTCTATCAGGCTGCTGGACGGGACTAGTCTGTGCTCAGGCAGACTGGAGGTGAAGTCTAACCAGTCTAACCAGTCTAACCAGTGGTGGTCCTCAGTGTGTGAAGCTGACTTTGACCAGCAGGATGCAGAGGTGGTCTGTAGGGAGCTCGGCTGTGGGGATCCTTCAGTCCTCCAGGGGGCGCTCTATGGAGAAGTGGAGGCTCCGATGTGGACCAAAGAGTTCCAGTGTGGAGGCCATGAGTCTGCTCTCCTGGACTGTAGAAGCTCAGGCTCAGCTAGAAACACCTGCTCACCTGGAAAAGCTGTTGGGCTCACCTGCTCAGGTAGAAGAGGAGCTGCAGCTTTGATTTGGTTCATTTCTGTTCTGATGAAACTCACTTTATTGTTTTACTGATGACTCTCTGGTTTCTGTTCAGAGCCTGATGATGTCAGGTTGGTGGGAGGAGCCAGTCGCTGTGCAGGAACACTGGAGCTGAAACATCAGGGAGAATGGAGACCAGTGAGTTACTATTACTCTGTCTGGACACTGAAGATAGCAGCTGTTGCCTGTAGAGAGCTGGACTGTGGCTCTGCTGTTTCTGTAGGAAAGAGAAAGGAGTCCTCAGACAGACCTGTGTGGTCGATCTGGTCTGACTGTGTTCTGTCTGGATCTGTTCTGAGGGAGTGTGTAACATCAGGTTCCTCTTCCTCCATCCTGGATCTCACCTGCTCAGGTAAGCCCATTAGTGACATCATCAATGACATCATCTACATTACATTAAATTACTCATTTGGCAGACCCTTCTATCCAAAGTAACTTAAATTTGAGGAACAGCATACAAGTATCAATACAGTAAGAGATCTACAACTGACAAAATGTAGTCGTAAGAGCTGATAGCACATGGCGCACGGGCGGGCCACATTGTGAGATACCTTCACACACAATCAGAGGGGTCTGTTGCTTGTCCTCCCTGCATGAAAGCCAGACTGCATGAAAGCCATCCGGCCAGCTGCAGCCTGTCCGTGTTATGCCACTCCCCTGGTGAGGGGAGGGAGGCAGGGTCTCATCGCCGCGCCGCTCAACTGGCAAGGGAAGAGGGCGGGGGAGACGTACGTACATGTGGGCTCAGGCCAGCCACCTGACCATGTCATGGAGGGGGGCAAGGGGAGAGAGGATGTGCAGCTTTGCAGCAAGCTCAGGCTGCTCGTTAGCCGTTTGGCTAACACACAGCTGGCTCACACAATGTGGGGAAGTGAGAAACAGCAGCTTCTTCATAATTTCTAGAGAAGCTGTGTGTAAAGCGCAACACTTTGCACTTACAAGAAACACAATTCTCCCGCCTGCCGTGTGTAACGTGTTGGCACACACTTGATGCCATACATCACACATATACAGCGCACATGTACAGTGCACAACACAGCCTGTCACACACCTCTAGATGCAGGAGGAGGGACTGCGTCGGTGATGCCGTGGTCACGCACGAGCCCGCAGCTCAAGACCTTTAGTTCAGACCTTTAGTTCAGATTATCTAAAACTACAGGCAAAGGAAAACAGAGCCTGTGGCCTTACGTACCTTTATCTTCTTGCCTCCTCTGTTCTGTTTTCTTTTTACACGTCCAGACAAATATGATCTTCTCTCGTCAGATACAGCTTAACGAGTGAGTAGTAATGACCGCTTCAAGGGCTCATTTGTCACAGCCTGGCTTCTGTGAAACGAGGGGGAACCCTGATTGTACAATATCAGCCAGAACATTTGAAATACTGACTGACGTACAAGGTTGTCACAATCCTGTCCTGAGTTTCTCTGTGAGTTGGTTTATTTGTCAGTTCTGTATCTGTCATTAAGGTCTGTTATGTTTTGGGTTTCTGTCCTGTCTTGTATCCAGTCTTCTTGCTATGTGTGTTTGCATTTAGATTTGGTCCTGTCTGTTTATGTCTTGTGGAGTTGGTCTGGGCGGTTCTGGCTTCTGCTTGTTCTGTGTGGTGGTTCTGGTCTGATCGGTCCCGTTATTTCGGTGCCCGAGTACTTGTTCAGTTCCGTTCCTGCCTAGGAAATCAGTCAATCAGTCACACACTCCACATCAGACATAAGTAAGCGGTTGAAACAGGGACAAAAATCATGAAGGCCCATAGAAAATTGGGTGGCTACGGCTCAGGAGGTAGCGTGGGTTGGCCGTTAATCGGAAGGTCTGCGGTTCAATCCCTGGTTCCCTCTGGTTGAGTGTCGAAGTGTCCTTGGGCAAGATACTGAACCCCGAATTACAACGGTGGCTGTTCCGCCAGTATATGAATGTGTGTGAATGTTAGTTTCCGTTTGAGCACTTAGGCTCAGTGTATGAGTGTGTATGACTGGTGAATGCAGATGTAGTGTAAAAGCGCTTTGAGTGGTCGAAGAGACTAGTAAGGCACTATACAAGTACAGAGCGATTAATTTACAAAACAGCGATACATTTACAAAACATGTGACACAACGCAAAGGTGGAGCTGAAAAGTTAAGGGAGAAAAAAGGAGTTAGCTGGAGGCAGCTGCAGCAAAGTGCCTCAATATCACAGACTTTTCTTCTGTGCTCCTGTTACTTCCAGCCTACCCGAAGACAGCAGCAAGGATGCCTGCAGCAGGGTGGGACTAACTTGTTACAAGTAAAGCACACTTGCAAAATAAATAAATAAAATAAGTCATTGGCACCTTTTCACCTTCCTTTATTAAAACTACTTTTACTCCAATATTTTCTGTGGGTGGGTGGGCCAGTAATCTACTTTTAATTTTCCATTCATACCTTCAGAGTAAGAGTTAAGAGTTAATCCTGCACTATGGTATAATATTAAGATACGTTTATGCAGTTTGTAAGAATTGTGATGCTAATCTCGGTTAGCATGTTAGTAAGCTGTAGCGTTAGCATTGTTGATACCAGCGCGGCTAACTAAGGCTAATGTAGTTCAGATTATCTAAAACTACAAGCAAAGGAAAACGGAGCCTGTGTCCTTACGTACCTTTATCTTCATGCCTCCTCTCTTCTGTTGTCTTTTTACACGTCCAGATATGATCTTCTTTCGGCAGACATCAGCGTAACGAGTGATGTCACAGGGTCAGTCAGCGTCAGGAGTCTCAGGTCACAGCGGATTTTCCAAAGTAGCCTATATAACTAAATTAAATAACCATTATGCTTATTATCATGCGTAATATAAAGAGCTGTGTTTAATTTTTTTTAATTATTTTATGTTTCTTTTTTTTTTAACGTAGAGCAGCACAGGGACCTGAAGCAGTAAAGGAGAGCCGTGGCCCCTGCCAGGCTATGGTGATAGGGAGTGACAAAGTGACAGGGCCGAGGGAGAGAGAGAGCAGGTGAAGCGGTGAGCATGGAGCAGCTCAGCCTGTATGGAGGGAGGCTCAATTACACTGGGGACGCTGGGGACACGGAGCCACCACTTTTTGAAAGCATTTGTTAAAAATGTTCAGAAAAACAGCTCGCACTAAGAAATGTTAAAATGCTATGAGAACGGTTTATTTGCACAGTAAGCCTGCAGTGGAAATATAGAAGAAACCTGTGTTGTCCAAAAAAGAAAGTATAAGAAGCTACTGATTACTGCTTTCTATTCTATTCTATTTTTATATTCTGAATTGTCACCTGCCACCTGAACTTTGTGCTTCCCCGGTATAGAAATTGTCTCCAGAATGCAGGAAATTAAGTGTTTAATGCTCCAAATCTTCAGGGGGAGGACCATCAACTATTTCATCAACACATTTTTGTTCCTAAATGGTCGGCCTATTAAAATAGATTCTTGTCTTGTTGTCATGGCCCCAGTCTTGTACAATGTTACGTCTCCTGGGCCAAGTGTTCACTCCCCTAATCTGAGCCCTTCAATGGAAGGATGGTGTGTTGGTGTCCCACCGATTTCAGCGGGCTGCCTGGACCAAAAATGCCAGGGCCGATTTTTTTGTCACCGTCCAGCCCTGTTGTGATATCTTCACAGTATCCTGTTGTTGGAAAGATCATCACTTTGTTCTGATGGACATCAGCCTGGTTATGGCTATATGGTGGATAAAACAGTACCGGTGGGCTTTACACATGACGCACAGCTTCTTCTGTATGTAGCTTTACCTGCTTCAACAACGAGCTGCTCCATGTTACTGCCACAATCATTCTTTGTTCTAAAGATTAGCTAGATGCTTTAGAAATAATCAGATTGTTCCGGCTGCCTGTGCTACTGCAAAGCAACAGGTTTGGTTTCCTGCATGTCCGTAAGGCAAAAGGAAAACTAACAGATATGCAAATTATTTTATTCCTTCTGCCATCAGGCTTTTAAATACTGCTGACAGCGGCAACTAGACATGTGCCAGGCATTGCAAATCTCTCTATTTATTATTTACTTGGTATTATTATCTGTTTATTTATTTATCTTCTTGAACTATGGTCCCTGCTTAGTCCATGTATTGTGACCTGGGTATTCGCTGCTAAAGTTCTGGTGCCCGAATCCAATATGATGTCATTGGCAGTGTTTCTCAATGCTTGATTGATTGTTGTCTTCTTGTCTTGTTTGATACGACTGGTAGGCTAAAACTGAATTGCCCTACGGGGATAAATAAAGTTGTTTGAATTGAATTAAAACAATCGTGGCTGGGCAGCAAGCTGATATTTTAAAGTGATCTTTATCAATAAGTTCATGGAGATTTAAAAAGAAAAATAATTTATTAATGTATTAAACAGCTAAATTACAGATAATCAACCATCAAAACAGATTGCTTTCCCTGGAAATAACCTGTTGCACAGCAGATGAAATATATTATGAAATGTACTTTTACTGGCGTAGTAGTAGTACTGTAGTAGTTTTCCTTTTACTTTTTTGGGAGTAATTGTACTTTTTAAAGAAGAGTAAAGATTTTGAGTATTCTACCTGCCGCTGGCCAGCAGCACCAGTACTAGCTCTGCCATGGTGAACATGAGACAGACAGCAGAGATGAGGGCAAGGCAAGTTTATTTGTATAGCACATTTCAACAACAAGGTAATTCAAAGTGCGTTACATAAAACATGAAAGCAACAGGGAAATATAAAAAAGTTTAAAAGCAACATAAATATTTAATTAAAAGCAATGGTAAAAAGCTAAAAACAAAGGAAAAGAAACAGGACAGTAAAAGTTACAGTGCAGTGTAAGTTATCAATAAAAAGAATAATCTTAAATATTTAATTAAAAGCAATGGTAAAAAGAAAAGTCTTCAGTCTTAATTTAAAAGAACTGACTGTTTCAGCAGACCTGCAGTTATCTGGGAGTTTGTTCCAAATATATGGAGCATAATAACTGAACACTGCTTCTCCTGGTTTAGTTTTGACTCTGGGGACAGAAAGCAGACCTGCCCCAGGCAACCTGAGAGGTCTGGATGGTTCGTAACGAAGCAGAAGATCAGAAATGTATTTTGGCCCTAAACCATTTAGTGCTTTGTAAACTAACAGCAGGATTTTTAAGTCAATTATTTGACATACAGGAAGCCAATGTAAAGACCTCAGAACTGGAGTGATGTGATCCACCTTTTTGGTCTTAGTGAGGACTCGAGCAGCAGCGTTCTGAATCAGCTGCAGCTGTCTGATGGATTTCTTAGGGAGCCCTGTAAGGACACTCTTACAGTAGTCGAGTCAACTGAAGATAAATGCATGGATAAGCTTTTCCAGGTCCTGCTGAGACATAAGTCCTTTAATTCTTGATATATTCTTCAGGTGATAGTAGGCTGACTTTGTAATT